ACGATTTATTCATGAATCCCTACCGTTGGAAATTCCAGAGCATGTCACAGCCAACGACCTCCGAACAGGTCCGTCGAATTTCGTAAGGCGCATTGATTGTCGTCCTGGTCCATCGGGATCGACCGCCGGAACGTTTGTTTTTAAATCTCCCCGCGGTATGTTTAATTTTCAATAATTACATTATTATATTCGTCTTCGGTTTAACGATTCCGTGACGACCGCGTTACAATAGTAACGTAACAACAATCGAATACACACGATACCCGTATTAACACGTTCTTATTACACGACCGGCACACCGTGAAATTATCGTTTACCCGCGGTGTTTATTTCCCCGTAGGAGGTAATTTTTTTTTCCCCCTTTTTTAAAATCGTATTTCTTTTTTCCTTTTCCCGGTAATCTTCCAACGCGGGAGTTTTTTTTTTTAATATTATTACGAATAGTTGGTCTCGAACCGGCCGTTATTATATTAGTGTTTGCATAATTTTTTTTTTTTTTTTTTAATCTCTTTCATAAAGTTGCGTCGCCGCAACACCGCGAGGACCAGAGGAAGTATAAATACTTAAATAAAACTTAATATAACACAATATAATATAATGCTTATAAATAAAAATCGTTAGAATATAATATACGGACGTTTTTATGCACGCCGTATGGCGATAGTGGTCTTCTTCTTCTTCTTCTTGTTGTTTTTTAAAGGCCATTTCGAGGCCCGTTACCGCAACACTGCGCATACCTGATTACGTCTACGCCCCGTCCCGATCTATCGTCGTCTATCCTGTCTATCCTGTCTGTCTCGACTTAATATCCGTACCGCCTTGTTTTCTGATATTCCCATAATTCTGTAGATCCTTCCGATCTCTTTATACGCTTTTATTCTCCAGCCAAACCGGTGGACATTTACCCGTCAGATTTCTATTTTTAGACCCAGCCCTTTCTGCATCGTAGCAGTAAAACCGCACATAATATACGTGTATAATATCCGGTTCTCTGTGTTGCGGCACATAACCGTCCTAAAATCGTTTCGCTCTTTGTTTCATATCGCCGACGAGTGATTTCGTCCTTTTCCGGTCTAGATGACCGTGTACACACACAGACAGGTATTCGCCTTTCCGAGGACTCGAAGGACCGTGTTATTTTTATGCGACGATAATATTTGCGTGTATTATTTTGCTGGAACGACAACAACGAGGTAACAACGTGGTCACGGTGAACAGTGAATAAAAACAGATGTGGACAAATGTGAACGCGTCAAGGAGCAAGGCGCGGGCCGCCGTATTAAATGTCCGCCACTAACGGCCGAATGCCGGACTGCCAATATTTCGGACGGGGTGATACGAACGGCCGCCTTTTCGGGAAAGGAAGGGCGTGGTGAAGTTGAAGACCGACGCGAATGAAAACAAAAACGGTCTTGCCCGGCGAGACGACAAGTGACGGCGGCTGATCGGATCGGCCGGCCGGCGAGAATGTTTGTGCACCGGCCGGAGACCGCGGCTATTCCGACGGACGTGTTAATAAATATCATCACCGCGCCGGGCCCCGTCGATTAAATAACAATACCGATAAATTACGTTGGAATTATAATAAATTATTCTCCCGCGGTTCGTGTGCCTGCAACAACTGAACGACCGGGGCCGCGTTTTCGAGCACGGGGGCGACGGCGGCGCGTTATTCGGACGCGGACGGTGTTTGACGGTGCGCGCTGCGCTGTGACGGTGAATCGCAGCGGGTAGGAAAACAGAAAGGGAAAAAAGAAAAAAAAAAAAAAAACACCGTGAGATACAAAGGACCCGATAACCCGACCCGCGGCCGAGCCGACGGACGCACGGACAACGCGTACACTACAGCGTGTGCGTATGCATCGTACATGTGTATACTCACGCTAATCGGACGAGTCGATTTATTTAAAAAAAGAAATAATGAAAAAAGAGAGACCTAGAGATCGTCTAGAAGAGATAATGTAATATGACGGCGGCGGCGGCGGCCAGGGACGACGACGGCCGGCACGATAACAACGATATTGTTGTGTATAAAACATTTTCGACCGCATCGCAGCGTATAATATTATAATTTTTTTTTTTTTTTTATTTTATTACATTAGACGCTTACCGCACTACTAGGGTCCACGCGATATGCTACCGCGATAGTTTACCATCAGCATACTGGTACCCTCTCCCCCCGCCGCTACGATAAGATAAGTAGCCGGGTCGGATTGCCGTGTAGACGGGACAGGCGCAAGCCTAGGACTACGGGCTAACGGGCCGGGGCTATTTTGTTCATCGCGTTTCCGGTGACGCAGAATAAAAACGTTTAAAAAAAATAAAAAAAAATTGCACAGGAACTCGCCTTGTGGAATTTTCGATCGAGTTCGTCGCCGCGCCGGCGGGGATTTCACCGCTCGGTTTTCCGTGTATTTTTCGTAACAGACCGAGAACGCCCGTCGGGTTTGTACGGTTCTCGCTGGTTCCCGGGTCGCCTTACCAAACACCGCTGCGCAGAATCGTTTTCCGTTAGCGTCGGCTTGTCGTCCCGTACAGACATAAACTAAACTATTGCTAAACTATAGACCGCGCCTTTCAACTTTCCTCCCATCAGCGCGACCGTCGGCAGTATCGGGTTTTTTTTTTTTCTTCTAATATATATATATTTTTTTTTTTTTATAAATATCGTTATCACACGCGTATAACAATCGAGAACGTTATTACTGATAATAATAATAATAATTATTATTATTACATCGGCCGTGAGACCGCGGTGGTCGCGAAGACGCGGCCGGGCGTTGACGGACCGACGGCAAAACGTTCGGAACCGGGAATCTTTTCGGCCCGAAATCGCTTTTCAATATATTGTACAATATCACATCCATTTTTCTCCGGTACCCCATTGTGTACGCGTGTGTTTTTGTTACGCTATACTTATTACACATACTCGTGTTATTATCGTTATTATTATTATTATTATTATCGTTATTATTATTACTATACCCTTGGACCGTACGTACACCGCGTTGTTGAAGTCCGGTCGATTTGTCACGCCGAATGCTGAACGTTAATAGGCGAGCGCACACATACACACATGTCGAGTTGAACGCACTTCGTGTAGTGCAACGATTTTTTTTCACGCGCGTGCGTGTGTGTGTGATTTTTTTTTTTTCTTTCTGGAAATCGATTCGTTTGGGTATGTCAGCGACACGATAACGACGACGGCGGCGCGACTCTGAGGACGCGTCGACGACGGCGAAAATCTCCAAAAACTCTCGCGTACGTCTTCGCGCCGCGTATACGTGCCCCGTATAGAATCTCTCTTCGAATGAATAGACGAGGACACGCGAGACCCTTTTTTTTTTCTTTTTTTTTTTTTTCGTTCGTCGTCATTACCGGACACTCTCACACGCGCACACGCACACTCGTATGTGACGCGCAAGAGACGTGCACAGCCGACACGTATTTATCTATACGCATACGTCTTGTGTGTTCGAGCCGTTCTTCACGAAAGCCGAAGAAACAGGAGGCTTACCGAAACCGTTAAAAAAAAAAATAATAATAATACAAGAGCCAGGACTACGCGCACTCCGATACGACAGTTTTCTCGCGAGAAAACTATAGAGAAACGCCTGCCTCGCTTAAGCTACCACAATTGCCCGGATAATGAGGGGCTTGAATTTTCCCACGGGATAAACGAGGCAAAAGTGAGCGTTTGCCCGATGAATATTCGTTCGGATAACTACCGGATATTTACCCGCGGTAGACTGGGTACAATTTTTGTTCAGTGTAGTAGTAAGCACGTGTGCACGACAACAAACTCCATACGAAAACTCGTTGGTTTTTTCGTACCCTCGCGCGGCCCATAAGTTCACTATGGACGAACGAATAACAACAATCGGCTTTCACTTTTCAGTAAAAAAAAAAAATAAAAACAAATCGGTTTCGTTACGTTTCCGAACATCGGAAACGAATGAAAACCGGTTGTTTTTTAGTTTTCCTTTTTTACTATATTGTTCACCAGAAGTTTTTCCGGACGGGGGAAAAAAAAAAAACAAACGTTCGCCCGGACCCCGGGGGCGGTTCAGATACGCTCGCGGGCAGCCGGAGGCGGTCGGCCCGTCGGGATGACGGACGGACAGAGACGCGCGCGAAACCGAGCCGATGTCGTTGTTGTTGTTGTTGTTGTTGTTGTTGTCGTTTTCGCTGGCCGTCCGCCGCGGGTACGAGAGGACGGCGGGGGAAACCGCGGACCCTGTCGGCGTCGAGGGGAGAAAAGCGGATAACGAAGTTTCCGACTGCGCAAAGTTCGTTCGCTTCCCAACTCCCCCCCACCCCTCGCGCCGCAGTACCACGCCGCTACTCTATACACGCGCACGCGCGTACATTTATATCGGTACGCAGTGGATTTTCGATCGTTTCGGTTCGGGTCCCGCGCGATTACCGGCGGAGCCACTTCGAGTTTCAATTTTCGCCTCTATCCCCGCCACCCGCCCCGTGCGTTTATTATGAGGGCCGGCAATTCGATTTCGTCAACGCCGCGGCGCGCACCAACGTCCGGCACGGTAACCCCGAATAAAACGCGCGGGGGTTTTACGCTCGCCGGAATATGTGACGACAATGACGACACACCGCAGCCGCGACGCGTTCTCGAATCCGCGCGATACGCGACGCGCGTGTCACGCGCCGTATCGAAAACCGAGATAAACGGAGTCGAATCAAAGTGCACACGCCGATTTTCGGCGCCTAAATCGTGTTTGAAACGTTTCCGCGTCGATTAATGTCGCGAACGAGACGTTCGACTCGTGTTGGAAAAACGAAAAAATACTCGACATTCTCGAAATCGAATCAATAACTAATTTGTAATTTTTTTTTTTTTTTTTTTGCAGACGATGAGACCACGTTTCGGAACTTGAGTGCAACGCGTTCGATTGGCGGATTCGCCGCGTAATCCGGTGCTAACCGTCGAAACGGTCGCGATAACCGTACAACCCGGAGTCGACGCCACAGACAATACTATGCGTGCGGTGCTGACCGCGGTTTTGCTATGCGCGGTCGTGGGCGGCGCGGTGTGCAACATGCAGCCGGTGGCCGTGACCAACGCCGCGGCCGCGCCGGCCGGCCGGTGTGAGGAGATCACGATCCCGATGTGCCGCGGCATCGGGTACAACATGACGTCGATGCCCAATCAGCTGAACCACGAGTCCCAAGAGGAAGCCGGCATGGAAGTACACCAGTTCTGGCCGCTGGTCGAGATCAACTGTTCGGCCGACCTCAAGTTTTTCCTGTGCTCGGTGTACACGCCCATATGCATCGAGGAGTACCAGCAGCCGTTGCAGGCGTGCCGGAGCGTGTGCGAACGGGCCCGGGACGGGTGTCTGCCGGTGATGCAGCGGTACGGGTTCGTGTGGCCGGAAAAGATGCAGTGCGACAAGTTGCCCGTGAACGGCGGCCCGGAACTGTGCATGGCCCAGGACGTGTACGAACAGCAGCAGGGACCGGCCGCGAAACCGACCAAGAAGCCGCCCGGCGGGACGCCGGGCAAGTGCAAGCCCGGCAGCAGGGCCAAGGGCTGTGAGAAGTACGCGTTCGACGGCGACGACTGCGAGTGCAAGTGCCGGCCGCCGTTGGTGGCCGTCGAGAAAGACTCGGTCCGGTACAACCGGAGCGGCGTGTCCGTGGCCGGCGTAGACAACTGCGCCATGCCGTGCCGGGGAGTGTTGTTCAACGACGAAGAGAGAGACTTCGCGTCCACTTGGATCGCCCTGTGGTCGAGCATATGTTGCGTGACCACGCTGATGACGTTGACCACGTACACCATAGACACGCAGCGGTTCAAATATCCGGAAAAACCCATTGTGTTCCTGTCGGGCTGCTACCTGATGGTCAGCCTGGGGTACCTGATTCGCGTGTACGCCGGCCACGACGCCGTCGCCTGCGAGCTCGACGGGTCCGTCAAGTACAACGCTTCGGGGCCCACGCCGTGCACACTGGTGTTCTTGCTGCTGTACTTCTTCGGCATGGCCTCGTCCATATGGTGGGTCATATTGGCGTTCACGTGGTTCCTGGCGGCCGGGCTCAAGTGGGGCAACGAGGCGATCGCTTCGTACTCGCAGTACTTCCACCTGGCCGCGTGGCTCATACCCACCGTCAAGTCGCTGGGCGTGCTAGTCATGTCGGCCGTGGACGGCGACACGTTCGCCGGCGTCTGCTACGTGGGCAACCAGAACCCGGACAACCTGAAGATGTTCGTGCTGGCCCCGCTCATCGTCTACTTGGTCCTGGGCGTGTCGTTTCTGTTGGGCGGATTCGTGTCGCTGTTCCGCATCCGGAACGTCATCAAACAGCAGGTGGGCCGCAGCAAGGCGGACAAACTGGAAAAGCTGATGATCCGCATCGGTGTGTTCAGCGTGATGTACACCGTGCCCGCGTCCGTGGTCATCGGCTGTTACTACTACGAGGCCAGGTACATGCCCGACCGGATCGCGCACTCTGCGTGCCCGTGCGCCGACCCGGACCGGGACACCAAGCCGGTGTACACCATGCTGATGCTCAAGTACTTCATGACCCTGGTGATGGGCGTCACGTCGGGCGTGTGGATATGGTCCGGCAAGACGATCGGCTCGTGGAAGAGACTGTCCCGGCGGCTGTTCGGCGGCGGCGGCGGCGGCCGTACGTCCAAGGGCGGGCCCAACCCGATACTGATCAACCCGGGCAAGCAGCGGAAACAATTGCAATACATGCCGGCGCCGTCCGTGCCGGGCAGCACGCTGCCGTCGTCCCATCACCTCGCCCCGTCGTCCAGCCTGCACCACCACATCATCAAACAGGCGCCGCTCAGCCACGTATGACATCAGTACGGCACTCCTGCCCTCAGCTACGAGCAACCGGACCCGTCCGAGGACATGATGATGCCCTCCGCCGCGGGGCTCAGCGACTACGGTCCTCTTTGAACGGGGTCGGGCAGGAATGACGATGATGACTTTTTGTTGCGCATAAATGATCTCGATCCACTCTTTAATTTTAATTTTAATTTTTTTTTTCTTTTAATTTTATTGTAATTACCATTGTCCACGCGACGGACAATTTGCCGTGTACTATTATTATATTTACGTCGCGGTTCGCGATCGTCGAACAGACACCGAATAACAGCGGCCCGTCGGACCGACGACGGCGACTCGATTGCGTTTCCGGGGACCGTTCCAGCCGGCGTAGAAACTCGGTTCGCGTAAATCACGCGCGGGCGTCCGCTAGAGCGGCCCTCGCACGTTGTTCGCCGTGCCTAACCGATATGCGTTATGAATCACGCGATACCGCCGGCGGCGATTGTCGCCCCCGTCCCCAAGAAAAATGTATCCGGTGAAATTGCATCCCCTCCCCTACTGCCCTATACCGCGGGCGCGATCGACCATCGCGGGGCAGACGAACATCCGGCAACAAACGCGCCTCTCCGTCTTACGCGCTGGCGTACGCGGCGTTTAAACGTGCATAACCTTTAGATACGTATGTGTACGTACACGCGTAAAGTTCACACGGTGTAGACGGTATAGAAAGAATAAAAAAAAAATTCGACGCTAAATAACGGTTTGACGAGCGATAATTGATATTAGATATATATACACGCGTCCGCCGTTATTATTACCCCCCCCCCTCAGCCCCCCCTCCTCATCAGCCATCGTCGTAGGTTTCGTTTCTGGTGCTTTCCCAAATTCAATTATACTTATATATATATATATATATATATATATATATGTATATGATGTGTTTTTTTTTTATTTTTTATTTTTGTAAATAACTTTAAACGTATAAGAATCCCCGTATACTAGTCGTAGTTGTTAAGTTGTGTACTGTATATTATATGATTTTTTTTTTTTTTTTTTCTCGTTGTTGTGTTTAGCGGTAAAGGTACACCCCTTTTATACTACTGTAATCAAATATTGTGTAAAAAGGAATTATTATTATATTACGTGTAACGACATTCGGTCGCCGGCCGAAAATTACTATAATTTTCTTGGTTTTTTTTTTTTTTCTATAAATATATATTATGCGTCTAAACAACAAGTGAAAAAAAAAAAAAAAGTATATACCTATATATATTATATATACGAGTTGTTCGCTTAAGTCGTGCAATATACTATTCTAATGGGTTTTGTTTTTTTTTTTTTTTTTTTTTTTTCGTTTTTTTTTGTCGTGTTAAAACGCCAAATTTATTATTATCGTTTTGTATATTGAATTTTTTTCCTTGTATTTCGTACGGAATCCATTGCCTTTATTAATACAAAATACTATTTATTATATTATATTTATAAATGTCTATTATTGTAATACGAAAAACAAACTGTATACGTAAATTATTTAAGTGATACAAATATTATTTAAACGCGCGAATATACGCGCGTACAAATTATTATTATACTATTTATACAATAACATTAATATATTATCACCGTGTTGTAGCAGCAGAAGAAAAATGAAACCTGTACATATAATATTATAATAATTATTATTAATGTTTTCAATAAAAAAAATTGTACATTCGAAGTTTTCCTAAAAATATTCGTGTGCGTTCGTATAATATTATAAATCGTGTATTGTTTTCCGAAATAGATGAGAGTTGATATTGTTGATATTACTGTATCGAGTGGCTTTGATGACGTTGACGATTTCACGCAAATTGCATTTCGCGTTGAAACGAACACCGTCAACGCGAGTTGTTCAGTAAATATGACGGTCCGAGTGTGTATAATTTTCCAGTGGCGAGCGCAACTAGTGACGGTGTCGGAGGTAATTCCGCCCGTCCTCTCCGTCCGGCTTGAAAATACGATAAAACGTAAATGTCTATTCGGTTATCGCGTGAGGTGTAAAAATCGGCATTAGGGCTAGGTAGGCATAGAAAACGATTCCTGTATACGATTTAAAAAAAGAATGGTGGGTTGTTCACTGTGCTAAAAAAAAAATCGGATATTTCAACGTTTTCTCGCTAACCCGAAAAATAAATAAGAGCGGTCGATTTTCATAGCACTTTGAGATTTGGAATAAAAACAAAAAAAAAAAAAAAAAAAAAAAAAAGGCGGTAATTCTGGTGTCAATTGTTTAGGATGGTAGGCGGAAGAAAGGCTACGTATTGAGTAATTTAATTAATAACTGTACACGGCTTTAAACCACCGTCAATGAAAAACGATTCCGAGCCTCTGCTATTATGCGTCGTATTTTCCCCTTGTTGCCAAGGTAACCCAGATATCAAAAAAAAACTATACTGAAAATTGCCAGTTTTCCCCAATTATTAAGAAAACTACAAGGAAAATCGAAAAATTGACCTCACCGGTATACCGGCGACTAGATTGTTTAAAGACACGGCAAACAAACGCATCATAGTCAAAACCAATGAAATGGTAATAACGTACAATACAAGTTTTAGAAAAATTGAAATTGAAAAAAAAAAAAATCACTATAGGCTAACACAACTCTCTAGACACCGGTGATTTACCACTCGTCTGTTCGGTTTCCGGCGCCGTTTTCGAGCGCCGCCCGAAACTGTCGATTCCCGATTGTGTCATAACGACGAGTATTTACATAATACAAATGTCATAAAAAAAAAAAAATCATCAATCTGTTCGACGAGAAATTGTTAATTCAACGGGCGTATAGGTATTCCGAAGAACATCACGGATACGTTTGTATATTCGTTCAACGCGGAAATATAATAATAATTTTATGAATATAATTATAATATATATTGTATAAATATTCTCACCTATATATCTACCGTACACGTGAATTCGAATGTGTCATTCGTAGTACCGATACATACGGTTTTGAATAGTTAGAAAAAAAAAAAAAAAAACACTTCACTACCTGCCTACTAGAACAGGAAAAAAAACGACCGAAAACCGTGCATGCGACGCATACGTATTCGACGAATTAAATGTTTAACGGCCCGCATCGGTACGTATTTATTGATTTTAACGTTTTTATTTGTTACGAGTCAACATTTTCCCCCCGCTGCGGTGCACGCGATGAGAGTTCAGCACTTTGGGGGTTGGGGGGGGAAACAAACCCCGATACGCGTTTTCCGAAGTGTTAGGTTCGTCGGAATAGTGTTGTCGAATACGTTCAACTACTGTGTTATTATTACGCGAATCGCGGTGTCGAATACGGTGCTTATTGCGACACGGAATGTTCGCGTATCGATTGAATTCTTAACGGACGCGCCGACGGATTGTTCATTGATGCGTTTTCAAACGCATAGTGTCGAAACGGCGTTTGTCCACTGGTTCGTCGTGTTAGCGGTGGCAACACAATTTCCACGGGGACGTGTAATAAATGTTTAATAAATGTATAATAAAATAATGTAATAAATGTTTAACAAATAGTTTAATCGGTGTCGTTTTCCGTCTGTCGACAGTCGACGGGAGCGCGCGAGCCGCGTGCCGTACGAAAAGGCGACCGCGGATTTCGCATCAGGTCTTTCCGATGCGCGATTCGCGTTGTTCAATCGGGCGTTCTTGAACAACCGACAACGATATAAATAAATAATCACGGATGCAGTCAATTAAAAATACGGTGTATCGGACACAATGAAAATAGTTAAAAAAAAAAACATTTTGCACCGGCCCCCGTTCTGAACGCGTAAAAACAAAACGGTTTTCGCAGCTAAATCGCGTGGGTATGCGAGAAACCGCGTGAGAACGATGAGTGAACCGTAACAGATATACCAGACTTCAACAATTGTTATTTGCTAACGGTGTACAGTGTACTGTGCCCGATCGAGTATTTTATATCAGCTTGGGAAATTCAATGCGCGGCGAAACTAAAGGTTTACACACCGCGTGTGTGTTGCACATTATTTATACGACGGCGGTTACATCATGTGCGCAGCCATTTTGATGCGTCCAGAACAAAAAAATTGCCGACTATTTATCTTTGTCTAGACACAGATGAACTACTGGGTATTTTTGATCGTGGTCATACGCATAAATAAATAAAATCTTTATTTAGATTCGACAATTTTTTTTATGTATTTAAATGTTTTAAAAATATCATAATTGTCAACGTTAAAACAATAGTAAATAAATCTCTATAGTGCGTTTCACGAAATTAGAGACTCGACTGTAGCGCGACCGGTGGCCGAAAATTTGGATTTCAGTGGCGTTCAAACTTCGAAATACTTTGTATACTAAGCGTTGTATGCGGCGGTTCAATTCGCACGAGCTTTTTAGTGAACATATTGAGTAGCTCTACTGATTATAGATCACCAGTCGCGCTGTCGAGTCTCTAATCTCGTAAAGTAATCGTAGAGTACAACCAATAGTGTCCTATGGTATTGCATTTTGGGGTAACGCTTTTGATTTTCGTATTGAAAAATACGTCCCAGGATAATGGGTACGGGTACAGCCACTGCTATAGGCAATTTAATGTACGCCTGTTAACTATGTCACATTGTAGTAAAATAATTAAATAGGCTCTATATGTTTTCTTTAATAATATTTGTTTAATGTTGTACCGGTTTAACCAGTTTTTCACATTTTCTGAGAAAACTCCGGGGAAAATGGAAAAACGAACTCTTTAAAGTACTTCCCAGGTAAATTTTTCTTTCAGAAACATTGCCATCATTAGAAGTTGGAGCGAAATTGCTGGTAGAAAAGTTTTCCACAGAAAAAAAATCGTAATATTATATTTATTATATTTCGTAAATTTTCCCCTTTTTTTTTCAAACGTGAAAACGTTTGATGAAAAAAACCTTGAGAAAATCTAAAAATAACCTTTCTGGGATACCTCCCCATATCGACTTTATTTCAGTTGCTACACGTAAAATTCGGAGCAAGTCCTCTGGTAGAAAAGTTGTCCACGGAAAAAAAAATAAACATCTTTGTAAAACCATAAGCTTCTTCGCTCCACACAGAATCTAGAATTACATGAAACATTAAGTTCTCTCATAAAATATGCATTCAATAAGCCAAGTCTTTTCCCAACTACTTTTTTGTATAATAATTGTAAAAACTAAATCTATTGTTCGTGTTTATTTAACATTGTAATTTTATAAACTCTCACCTCTAGCACAGCCTTTGGCTTTGAAGGTGATCCAACAGTAATTTGTTTATTATAACAAACTTTGTAAATATTGATTTTTGGAGAATTAATTAATAAATTGTTATTATTATTGAATAACTATTCTAGCAATTGTCAATTATCTTTATTTGGATATTTTTAAATTATTTCCAATAACACAATACTCCGGGAATACTGATCGTACGTTATAATCAACGTATTTAAATCTGATGGTTCATCTGAATTGATAACTGGGTACGGTAATCGGTATGGACGAAAACCATACCGAGGAAAGAGGGTAATCTAACCACTCCCCCCCCTCCGCATCCCGTTTTAAAATTACTACAGAGGTTTCATTAACGGCTCTTCCATAAAAATAATATAAAAGGAATATTCTTATTTCGTAGTATTTATTTCACGAGTAATTGATAGTTCACTTAGACAAACGTTATAATATTACGCATGATGAGTAATTAATCGATAATTTTGTTGTCCAAAGTTTTCACGGCTCAGAATTTCGGGATTTCAATAATTATAAAATGATTTGATTAACAAAAACTATGGAAATGTAGGCGTATTAATGTGGGCTTGTGATTTTCAATTGTTCCGCCATTACAGGGACGAGATAGATCATAACACATTGTATAGACAATAATGTGTAATATAATTAAACGGCCATCTAGTCAAATATCTCATTATTTTTAATGAATACATGTATTGTAAAACAAAACGAAAACATTTATAATAAGTAGGTACTAAACGTGAAATTTCGAGAGAAACATAAAACCATAGTATTATCACGCCACTTCAAAAATGTATGTTATATAGTAATTGGAACAATATAATGAATAATATTGTAGTCGTGTCAGTGATGGGTACTCGTGACAATCGTTTTGATCGAAACGAGTTATATTTTAAATTTAAATATTTATAACATCACAGGCACTCGTACATCATACGCAGCAACACTTAACGATTACGATTTGGAGGGTGTTTACTGTATTTTATTGTTTTAAGAAAACTTGTTTTGAGATTGCCTAATATGATGTTTGTTCTTAAATATTAATCATTAGGTTATAATTATATATAGCAGGTATACGCAAATACAAAAAATACGAATTTGTTTTAATTATCTACATCCTTATACCTATATGGACACACGTTGAATTCGAAAATCTGAATTTACATAGCCATCGGATTTCATCATCTCTAATATACGAGCGTATCCCTCTTGGTATATACAGACATCGTTTTAAGCACGAGCCAATTAAAAACGTTTTCTGAACATGTTATAAGATAAATAATTATACAAAACGCCTGAAATGCGTAAAAAAAAAAAAAAAACTCAAATCATTATTTTAACGATTGGTGAATAACCAATCGCTCGGTATATACGTGTGTTAAAAATAGTATTTATATTACGTTGGTCGAAACAAATACTTGTCCATATCTCCTGTTAATCGCCTGGTAAGTGGTTTAGATTCTGAGTACGGTGAGGAATGTACTGGTTCTACTATAGCTGTATTTTTTTTTTTTAAATTTTAAGATTAAAAAAAAAAAAATCGAGCGTAACGTAGTAGTTTTTTTTTTTTTTACAGAATTTTTGTGTTCAGATTTGTTTTAAATATTTTATAATAATAATGAGTACCTACCATAATGCAATGCATTTTGTTCTAAATACTAATTAAAACGAATTGTTTTTACATTAATTTGTGTAATAAATGTGTTGAAAAAAAAACTTTAAATATTACATGTGTTAACAGCAATATGTATAATCATAACTTATTATGTAAATGCTTAGGAAATTTATATAATGCCAAATATAGTTGGCAATCTATAAACATGTTTAAATGACCTAGACGTTATAGGTATGTGAAATGCGAGACAACGTAATAATGTATTAATGCATCTTTAATAAATTGACGCTCACTCGATATTAAGATAAAAATGTCACGAATATATAATGTTATTTTTACAATTTTCCCGTTTTCCCTACGTTTTTTCCAGGTTATTCCCATTTAATGAGAGAACTCCTGAAAAAATCAAAAAATGACCACCTCGAAGTACCTCTCCAGTCGAATTTCCTTTCAGAAAAAGTGCTAAAATTGTAAATCGGAGCAAAATTGCTGGTAGAAAAGTTGTCCGTAGAAAAAAAAAATAAACATCATTGTAAAACCAATACATCGCTCACTCCGCCCAGAACCTAAAACATAAGAACAAATAATTCTACATTTCACTCTGTTTGTTGTAATTTTTCAAATGCACATTTCAGTCTTGTACAAAATGGCGTGTGTAGAGAATCGAGTGAGTGATATA